AAAATGTAATTTAATAAAAAAATTAAGTTTTTTTTAAATTTATCGGGTGGTCCTAAACTTTTGGCCAGGGAGTGTAAGTTATTATAAAGAGAAGAAATTGTTAAATATTTTTTTTTTTTTATAAAAATTATAATAATTTTTATGTTTATATAGATAATGAACCAGATTCTTCAAATATTAATTGATTGAATCGTTAATTTTTTTTTAGAAATTATAATCATAGAGAAAAGGAATCGTTGAATTTTTTTTCGTTATAAATAATTTCATTAAGAAAAATAAATAAAAGAAAAGGTTTAAAAATAAAATAAAAATTATATTAATTCATGTAAACGTAGATAATAGATTCTTCATATTTCTTTAATTTTAATTTATAAATACATTAATTGATATAAAAGTTAGATTCTATCAAAAGTTCAATTTCAGATATCCCAATTTTCAGATGGCCTCGTATCTGAAATAAAAATTAACTGAAATTAACAAAAAGAGTTAGAATTACAATTCGACATGTTCTCCGAGTTCCCAAATTCAAATTTCGATTTCGAGCAATCCAACTTGAAATTTCAAATTTGGGCATTTAAATTCTCCTTATTTAAATTTAAAACAACTGTTAAATTTGACATTTATTTCCTTTTTTTTTTTTTTATAAAAAAAAAAATAATAATAATAATAACGCGATATTTCAATATAACGGCTAATTTTTGATTATATTATAATTTTTGCCAGAATTAAAAAATCTGGGCTGGTACTTAACATATGGATATATTTTAAGTAAATGATGCTCAAAAAAATGCTATGTCACAATAAACATTTCCAACCAATAATAAATTGTTCTAAATTAGATTTTATAAAAAGTTTCGTGACTGATGTTACACAAACAAACGAGAAATTTTGACGTCCTAATCGCTTGCTTTGTAAATAAGTTAATCGACTATAAAAATTTAATCAAATAAAATTCATATATCATATAATAATATGAATCAAAAATCTCTTTTTTTGTTGATGGGGATTTAATAGCTTAGCGTGAATTTTAATTTTGATGGTTTATCCAAGTTTTAAAATTGTAAATAAATATTTATAATCGATTCCTATTCTTAACCCTTGTTAATAAAATATGTTAACGTGATATTTTACCCATTACTATGAGCGTTTGAAAGAACTTACTTCTGTATCCAAAACCAAATATTTATAGATTCAATAAAATTCAATAAGACATAAAAGGTAACTAGAACAATATAAATTATTTCATAAAATTTTAAAATGATGCACTTTTCCAACTACTTAAAAATAAACATTTCAAAGCTCAACATTTATCTACACATTCACATCCGGCAAAACTCCAATATTCTCAAACTTTAAGCAATCCATATATTTCGCATCCAGCTCCCTAATTTCACAGTTAGGGTTAATTGCGATTGCATTAATCGTTTTACCATTTTCATAAGTAGCGCTATTTTCTGATCCGTCAGGAATACTTTTATCGACGGCTGCATGAAGCTTAATGAAATCAAATGCTCTATTTTGCGAGAATTGGCTTATTTTTTCAAAAGGAATCAACTAAATTTATGTAATCATAAAATTGTAAGAATATAAATTAATCAGAAAAATGCACACATAATCCTAAGGACGAATAAACTTACGAAAAAGCAATGGCAAGCATCGTCATAGACCTCAAGTGTGACCTGTGTGGGCTTCTTGAATGGGGATTTATCAAAATTTTCCGTAGCGTATTTGGGCAATTGGTATTTGTTTGGGTCAGAAGCTTTAAAACCAAATAAAACTAA